CCCAAAAAGAAGTTTGTAAAAAAATATTTGCATTTACCTTAAAAGTTTGCTACTATTTTGGTTTGAAATGGAAAAACCAACTGTTGGTTTCAACCTTGTTCCGCAATACTGCAAAATTAAACGCCTGATAAAGGGGAGGATTGTTTTAAAGTATCAAAACGCGTCGGCGTTGCCTGCGCTTTAGCCGCCCATCGCCAACGCCTTATTAATTTTTCCGGGCCTTTTTCCAGTGGCGCACATTCATTTAATCAGGTGTATTTTATTGCAGATTTTGCAGCAGAACTGAGCATCACAACAGCAGAAATGTTTTTCAATAACAAGATGTTACGACGTCTACTTACTGCTTCAACTAAGTGTATTAGACGGCAACAAAAGTCCCAACGGGCCAGCAATCTTCCAGAACTAACCAAGGTACCGAAGCAATAACGGAAATCTGCGAACTTAATTTAATTCCAAATCAAATTCATTCCTGGGTTTCAGTCATTTATTGTCTCTTTTTATCAATAAAAATACGTTTCGGTGTATTTTTCCACCATCATCAGTTTTTATGTGTAGCGTTGTTGTTGCTTTAAGCCTTGGCATGCATTTTTTGGCACGCAAAAATGCATGCCAAGGCTTAAAGCAGCAACAACGTTACACATAAAAACTGATGATGGTGGAAAAATACACCAAAACGTATTTTTATTGATAAATAGAGACAATAAATGACTGAGACCCAGGAATTAATTTGATTTGGAATTGAAACACAGTCAGGAAAGTATATACAATTTAATTTAATTGAAATTTTGTCACCATTTAGGATCGCTATGCGGTAAAACGGGGCGACTATGCAATGTTGAATGGACAACATTTGCAGTTCTTCACTGATCTATTGGGATCTAAAAGAGTCTTAACGAGTGCGGAGGAATGCCAGCCTTATAACATAGACTGGATTAAAAACGTTCGAGGTACAAAGTGATCAAAGTATTTTATTGATGGGGAATGCTGATGATGAGAAACTGAGTCTAAAGCCCGTGTCCCATGCATCCGTTTGTACCGAAGATACGATGGTACGAAAGTGTTTCTATTGGTTGGAGATCTGTCAAATCGACAGAACTCCAACCAATAGAAACACTTTCGTACCATCGTATCATCGTACAAACGGATGCATGGGACACGGGCTTTAGCCAAACGAATTTTCCGCAGAAACACAATTTGTTAGAAATTGAAAAATGTACACGTTTATCCATTAATAATCAGACATTTAGATAATTTCATAAAATTCTCCATGAAGTTTGGAATCGATTGGCATGTACATATATAGAAACGGAAAATAGTCGTAATTTGTATTCCCTGTTCTTGGTTAGTTCATTAATTAAGTTAGGTAAATATATAAAATCATAATTTTCAAGTCCACAATGTTTTTCATATAAACGTTGCCAAGTGTTACTTGTTTTCTCTAGTTTTCCCAAATGTTTACTAACCTTTTGTGAAGTTCGTTTGTTTCTACTTACTGGCTAAGAGGCTTACAATCAATTTCTACCGCACTATGGATTTGACTCATTATATCTAAACAGTTAGAGATAGTTCTCACAACATCTGCAAAGGTTATTTCGACTTTTTTGAGAAAACTGCCAACATTTCCTTATTCACTTTCTAAAAAAGCCATTTAGTTCTCTGTGGAATGATGTAAAAATTAGCGTTCTTGCTCATTTTGCCTCCGAAAAATGAGCAAAAATGGGACGGAAAACATTACATTTTGGCATAATCTTGCACCTGACATTCAAATTTACTTTTAAAACCAAGACTTTTTAAGAAAACTGGCAACATTTCCTTATTGATGATTCACTTTCCCAAAAGACCATTTATTTCGCTCTGAAATTATGTAAAAATGAGCGTTCTTGCTCATTTTGCTTCCGAGAAATGGCCACGAACGGGAAGAAAACCATGAAATTTTTGGCATAATCTTGAACCTAAGTGTCTGATATTCAAATTTCACTTTCTGGGTCAAAACTACTCGAATTTCCTCACTAATGTTGTTATCACTGGATCGAATTTTCAATTCTCTTTCCAACGATGCCAAAACGAATTCTGTGGCTCAAATGGTTTTTGAGAAACTTCGAAAAAAGCAGCGTCATGTTTGAGTCGATTTTGTAACTCAAAGAAAAACACGCAAATCGAAAACTGCTTGAAATCAAGACTTTTTTGAGAAAATTGTCAACATTTCCTTATCGATGGTTCACTTTCTAAAAAGGCCATTTATTTGTCTCTAGAATGATGTAAAAATGAGCGTTCTTACTCATTTTTCTTCCGAGAAATGACCATAAACGGGAAGAAAAACATTAAATTTTTGGCATAATCTTGCACCTAAGTGTCTGATATTTAAATTTCGCTTTCTGGGTCAAAACTACTCGAATTTCCTCACTCATGTTGTTATGACTGAATAGAATTTTCAATTCTCTTTCCAACGATGCCAAAACGAATTATGTGGCTCAAATGGTTTTTGAGAAACTTCGAAAAAAGCAGCGTCATGTTTGAGGCGATTTTGTAACTCAAAGAAAAACACGCAAATCTAAAACTGCTTGAAATCAAGACTTTTTTGAAAAAATTGTCAACATTTCCTTATCGATGGTTCACTTTCTAAAAAGGCAATTTATTTCTCTCTAGAATGACGTGCAAATGAGCATTCTTGCTTATTTTGCGTCCTAGAAATGAGCAAAAACGGGACGAAAAACATGAAATTTTGGCATAATCTTGCAACTAAGTGTCTGACATTCAAATTTCGCTTTCTGGGTCGAAACCACTCGAATTTCTTCACTCATGTTGTTATGACTGAATAGAATTTTCAATTCTCTTTCCAACGATGCCAAAACGAATTCCGGGGCTCAAAGGGGGCTTGAGAAACTTCTAAAAAAGTTTGAGTCGATTTTGCAACTCAAAAAAAAAACAATGCAAATCTAAAACTTCTTGAAATCAAGACTTGTTGTTGAAAAAACTGCGAACAATTCCTTATCGATCGTGCACTTTCTAAGAAGCCAATTAGGTTTCTCTGGAATGATGTGAGGCACTCTATATCATTCTGAACATTTTCTTACCGAATCACTTCATAGCGTGTTCAAGATTTCATTGATTTTTTTGTGGATTTGAACCGATTTTTTTAGGATACAGCAGATGCGTCCTCAAGCCAGAAACTACAGAAGAAGTGGCAAAAATTCTCGCATTTTGTAACAATAATCGCATTGCTGTGTGTCCTCAAGGAGGCAATACAGGCCTGGTTGGAGGCTCTGTTCCCGTTTTTGACGAAATCGTACTTTGCACCTCTCAAATGAACACGATTTACAGTATAAATGATACTTCAGGTAAGCGCCAAACGAATTTCTCCGGTCTTTACATCGTATTTTGTCATATCAGCTAGATATGAAAGAGCGAGTATTTGCGAATTACAGTTTTACGTCGGTCGGACTGCAAACGCTCTCCTCATCTGCTCTATCTGTCTAAAACCTCTTTTTTTTATTGCTTCCACTGCTCGAAGTGTTTCCACATTAAAGTCGTTTTCAGGTGTTTTAGTTTGCCAGGCAGGTTGCATATTAGAAAATCTGGATAAGGCTCTGGAAGAACACGGTCTGATGATGCCGTTGGATTTAGGAGCAAAAGGCTCCTGCCACATTGGAGGAAATTTGTCAACGAATGCGGGCGGCCTCCGTCTTTTGCGATATGGAAATCTGCACGGCACTGTCTTGGGGTTGGAGGCTGTAGGCGACAGCAAACGGCTGTTTGCTGCGAATTCACTAATTGAACGTTTGCAGGTAAAAGCTGATGGTGAGATTATTGACCTGCTCAGTACATTGAAGAAAGACAATACAGGCTTCCACTTAAAGCATCTGTTCATTGGGTCGGAGGGAGCTTTGGGGGTTGTGACGAAAGTGGCCATTCAATGTCCAGCCAAGCCGAAAGCCACCAATTTGGCCTTTTTGGGTAGGCAAAACTCCACTTAGCCTAGTTGATTGCAATTTCGTATCTGTTTAGGTTTGGAATCTTTTAGCCACATACTGAAAGTGCTGAAAAAGGCCAAAGGGGATTTGGGCGAAATTCTGGCCTCGTGTGAAATGATCGACCAAAGCACGTTGGATGTTTGCACGTGCAACTTGAAACTCAAATCGCCTCTTGCCGAATTCCCCTTTTACATGCTGATTGAGACGCATGGAAGCAGTGATGCACATGATCAGGAAAAACTCAACCTATTCCTAGAGGACGTGATGTTAAGCAAATTAATTTTGGACGGAATTGTAACTAATGAGCCCAGTAAAATGAAGGTAAACATAGTTTTCCAAGCCTGAATTCAAACGAGCTCGTTTTCGAGATTCTAATGGTGAGGTTCATAAATCGGACACCCCAAGAGCGGATTATTCAATTCTCCATTCAATTCTCTATCCAACGATGCCAAAAGGAATTCTGTGGCTCGAATGGTTCTTGAGAAACTTCGAAAAAAGCAGCGTCATGTTCAAGTGGATTTTGCAACTCAAAAAAAAACCACGCAAATCTAAAACTTCTTGAATTCAAGCATTTTTTGAGAAAACTACCAACATTTCCTTATCGATGGTTCACTTGCTAAAAAGGCAATTTATTTCTCTCTAGAATGACGTACAAATGAGCGTTCTTGCTCATTTTGCGTCCTAGAAATGAGCAAAAACGGGACGAAAAACATGAAATTTTGGCATAATCTTGCAACTAAGTGTGTGATATTCAAATTTCGCTTTCTGTGTCAAAACTACTCGAATTTCCTCACTCATGTTGTTACGACTGAATCGAGTTTTCAATTCTCTATCCAACGATG